CTGCTGGAATTTCACAGGTGGTGTGGAGCTGCAGATTTCCTGAAAGGGAATTTTGGCACTACTGAAAGATCTGATAGAGTCCAAAGGATTTTGTAAGCCACATACACACTATTTTTCTCTCACATGGATCTCTCAACACTCGTAGCAACTCAGAATTCAGGATTCCAAATAGCACTCCTGGGGTGCATTATATAAAGACTGATATGAAAATATTTTACTTTGATTTTTCCAGGCAACTAAATGATATAGTAGGAAAGAAGGGTATGGCAGTTTCCTGAGCACATTCTGTTTAGATGCTTTGAAAGACAACAAGGAAATTAAAGTGGAATGGCAGCAGTTACTGACTACATAAATATATATATATATGGGAAAACCATAGCATTGCCTTACCTGTGGTTAAATTTATGACCAAAGGAAACCCAGTCTTTTTCAATTAACACCTAAAATGAGAATATTGCATTCAGTGCTGTGGAGCAGAGCTGCCACATGCTGAAGCAGGCGGAAGAGTGGTGTAAACAAGCAGTATTGGAATCCCAGTCAATTCTTAGAATAAGCAGAAAAGTTACAAGCAAGGACAGTGTTGGCAAGCAGTATTAGAATCCCAGATAACTTTCAGAATAAGAAGAAAAAATAATGACAGATGAACAGCACTGTGAAATCGAGAGAAAGCACTCTTCACTCATGCAGGTAGGGTGCCAATAGATTGACACAACTTCAACTAGCTTGACTTATCATTTTCTAAAATAGAACCTAAAAATGTTTCAAACTTCTTTCAAGGATGTGTGACCAGTAACTTGATAAGCATTCCTAGGTGCTTTGCCAGTGATGCTTTGCTTGGGAAAGGAACAGATTTTCCAACATAGCTGCTCATTGCAACCTAATGACTAGGGAGCACACACTTCTGACACACTTTTGAATACAAACCCTTTCTTGCACAAAAACTTCTTAGGCTCTGAGAAAGCTCCTTGGTCAAGCTTAGGAAAAAAAATAAAGGGTTCCCAACTGTTCTCCACATTTTGTAACATTTCGTATAGAAAGCGAGAGTCTGTAATTTGGACAGATAAAAACCTTCCTTCCTATTTGAAAAAAAAGGCATATTTAAGGAAGGCTCATTTTCCATTTAAACCAAAGATGCTAATCTTAAATTATCCCGTAATTTTTTTGTTTGTTCTGTGAAAAAGAACCTGCTTACCATGAATCCCTTCACAGTTCTGTAATATGGATCCAATAGAAGGCTTGCTACAGAGCAAACCTGGGCTGTCCTATCCCAGCCATCAGAGCAGTGAACAAGCACACTCACACCTTCCTCGGCCACAGCCTAAGAATACAGAAAAAGTCAGAAATTTCACAAGGAGGGGGAAAGGCAATGGTAAGCAAGGAACAGCAAGACAGTGCCATATAGACAGTATTAATCTGAAACTGGGAAACCTTGTTCATGACTTTACTTCTGCCACAGAGTTCTTGCATTATATTGAGTGTTATTCTTCCCATTTGAAAAGTCTGTTCTCATCCCATCCCATGCCACATGGCAGATGCAGCATCACCTGTTTATGCTCTGCTACAGGAGAATGTGGGACCTGTTTCAATTAAAATACATCCATCTGCCAGAGCAGACAACTACTTAGAGCAGATTCAGATGACGCTGATGCTTTAACTCACATACCAGCAACAGAGCAGCCATATTTTCTATACTCAGTTCTGCTTCTTGATGGTCATGTCAGTAATGGCATATCTGTTTCTGATGCCAGTGCTGGCATGGATATCATTACAGCACAGTGGACTGTGCACCGATGATGTACTTTTGGAGGTTTGTGGGGATGCTTGTGCTAGTGGTAAACTTCCATAACTAATAAGCAATATTGTATCTTTAATGTAAATAACTGGGTAGGGAGGGATCCCATTTTATTCATAAACACAGAAGGAAGAGATCATACTCAGCAACATGTGGTGTTGCATTATTTTTGGAACTTAAGTGGGTTTTTTTAAACTGAGGTTTTTGGCCTTTGTCATTGCTAAATAAAACTAAATTTAGGAAGTAGAGAAATAAAATAGGCTAGGAAAGACACTGCTTAGAAAAATAAACATTTAAATTAAGTTTGGGCTTAATAGGGAATGAGAAATAATAATAAATTATTTATGTTTATCTCAAGAGACAAGTAAATTCTACCAAAATAGAACCCCTGTGGGCAGGAGACCAGTAACTGAGAACTGGGAACAGTACAAATAAGAATAGGTCAAAAAGCACATCTGAGGAGGCATGAAGCTAACAAGCACATGAACAAGGGGTAGATTTATTTTGGACAGTATTTTAAGACCAGCCACTGGGGAAAAGTTCACAAGAACTAATGTAAATTACCTGCTTTCTATAAGCTAATGACAGCTGGTAAGGCTGGCAATAATAATAACATGGAAATTTATCTGGCAGTAGCTGTTCAGGTAAGAAACTACAGTTGTCTGCTGAGCAGAAAGAAGCAAGGCAAGAAAAACAGAGTTACTGAATAGGGAAACCTGTATCAGGTCATGTGAATAAAAAGGCCTAAAAGAAATCGTTATCACAATCTCAAAAGAACCAAAACAATAAAAGGCAGAGCAAAAGGAATGGGGTAATAAAATTGAAACTATTTTTGGTAGATGTCAAATATCTGCATTACTTTGGATGAGATTAGGAGAAATAATTTCTTACCAAAACCAACAAATATTTTCCGAAACAGTTTTCAAGCATGTAACACTAGAAGCTGGTAGAGAGTTTGGCCAGAGTAAAACACAGGAGTTGATTTAGAAGGTGAAGTTAATTGGTTACTAAGTAACTCAGAGGGGATAATGTAGTAGCTAATATTCCTATATTACAGCTACCATCAAAGAAGTAGTCCTCTGACAGAAATCTTCAAGAAAGAAAATGTCCAGAAATCAGTGAAGGAGGCAGAAAGAAAAACAGGGAAACAAACAGTGACAATCACTGCTGGGGAATAAAGTAAGGACATTCAGATACCTGACATAACAAGATACAGGCTAGTAGAGGCTTTGGTACATTTGAATTATTTAGTGAAGAACACAAACTTTTTAAACCATATTAACAAAATACCCACACAACAGCACCTAAGAATCATCTGTCCTCATAGATGCAGCACTGCAAGATGTTTGGGTTTTTTTCATATGCAGCCTCACTGAAGATAACAGAAGTTACCCAAAAGAAGATAATTTGGTCCTCACTTTCTGTATCTGGTTAGTCCAAGTTTTGTTCTCATTTTACACACTTTACCTTTGCAATAAAAATGCCAGCATCCATAATGGCTTTGATATGCTTCAGCCAGCCAGAATTTTCTAGGCCCCACAGAAAGTCACTCATTGAAGGCGATTTCAGCTCACAAACTGCAAAATAAGCTACAACTTAAATGCACAGTAATTATAGACCCTTAAGCTTTCACTGACTGTTCAAACTACGAGTTACCTCTTCAGGTAAGCCCCATGTAAAACATTCATCTTTTGAAAAGAATGACTACTTCACAGTCAAACTTTGCCATTCAAAAAAGCATATATTTAAGAAATGGGGCAGACTCAAATATCACCCAACATGGTAAGTCAAAAAGGAAAGCTGTTACAAAGCCTGTTGCAAACAGTTTACCAACTCCTGTGCATCACAGATTTTCCAAAACTGTGTTAGAAGCGAAATTTTCAACCCCCTGGGAGGGGTTGATATATTTAATTGTGAGGCTATCGAAACAGAAAGCATAATATTTCTGCTCACAGACAGGCACCTAAACAGTGCCACAGCCTACCATTTCTAGTCACATTTGCTGATGAAGCCCTGTAAGGGCAAGCCCACCAAACCCAGCCTTCGCCACAGATTATGGTGTTTGAGATAATGCAATCCACTCAACAGTTCTCCATCCCTGTATGAAACCTTAGTAGAACTTTGCTTGTAGCCAGAAAGTATTCTGCTGGGGAGGAAAAACCTTAATTCATCAAGGAAAATATTTTTCTGAAATCTTTACAAGCTCTATGCCACATTTAAAGAAAAAAGGAACAATCTTTAATTTTTACAACATTAAGTTTCTATCATGCTGTATCCAAATGCCTGTTTTTCAATATTAGAGTTTGTGACATCAGAAGAAAAAAAGGGAAATCATACTTTAATTCAGATACCTCAATCCAGAAGCAAACAAATGCTCAACAATATTTGGTGCAATCTGTTTTCAACTGTGAAATACTAATTTCACCCCACAATTCACGTATTTATTTTGATCCATGTAGAGTTATACTGTGTTTTTTGAGGAAAATGCTATTAAGTCCTTTAAGGAATTTAGTGGAAAATGTCATGATTTTCACTGAGTTAATGTAATGCTTTAGCAGGTCTCTTGTCCTCTGGAAATCTTCTAAAAGACTCAGTTATTTATGACCACTGGCAAAACTTTGTTTTCCTTCAAAATAACTGGAATTTAATTTTGCAAGGCAAAGTCAGAGTTTATACCACATCTGAATGTGTCTGACTGTCTTAACTCCATTTAATTCACGGGCAAAATAGCTTCATGCGTCCATACAATGTCTTGCAGTCTTTGTATGTAGGGCCTCTTCCAGATGGTTATTTTAAAAGTAATTTTTGAAGGATATTTATAAAAATGCATAGATAGCAGCACTGAAAGCAAACAACTTTTCACATGATTAATGCTCTTGCGCAGCTGGAAGCATGACCAATTAGTTGATGAATTCTGGCTGAAGCCGCTGTCTCTGTTTACAAAAGCCCAAGGTAAGGCTGAAATAGTGCTCTGCTCATTCCTACTACCAAATTAGAGTCAATATTTACTGACCACTTCACTGAGCAAAGTTCAGACTGTCCTAAAGGCCTACACCCTATATTTCACATGATTTTGGCTACTGATCCAGACATTAACACCAAATTCAATTATGAGGCTTATCCTAAGGGCAAAAGGTGTTTCCATCTCAACAGAAAAGGTACCAAAATTTTGAAGAAGTAAGAGCTGCTACATCTGCTGTGTGGGCACAAGAAAATAAAGGTGTTCTGGGCAGAGCTTATAACAAATTATCAGTGCTTCCTTCCCCAGGAGGGGAGGAAGAAACAGGATACATGGTAGAAACTGCCTCTTCCACCAGCAAAAGTACCATAGAGGGAGGCTGGACCAGTTGCCCCATTTCTAGCAGAAGGAGGACTAAATGCTACGAAGCAAAACTTCAAGCTCTCTGTCTGTCTTCTCTGTTGCTGAAGTCCAAGGATCAGAGAGCTGTTATTACATCAGCAGCTACTGCTATGGGTAGGAGGGGAAGAGAAGCTCATAATGGCTGTTTAGATACAGACAGGGAGCATGTGGAGTCACCACCACAATGCACAACAAACAGGGGTGAAGTCTTGGTTGGCCTCTAGATGTACAGCACAGCTCAACCCATCACAAATCCAAACAGCAGGCTCAGTCAGCCCTTGAATCTCTAAGTGCGTGTACAACATGTCCTTCTAATATTGTTAATTATTTCAAGGAGGTCTTGCACAAGATCACAATTATCACAGGGACTTTACAAGGGTATGTAGTGGTAGGGTGAAGGGTAACAGTTTTAAGCTGAGAGAAGGTAGATTTAGGTTAGACATTAGGATTAAATTCTTTCCTCTGAGGATGGTGACGCTGGCACAGGTTCCCTAGGGTGGTTGTTGATGCCCATCCCTGGAAATGTTCAAGGCCAGCTGGATGGTGCTTTGAGCAACCTGGTCTAATGGGAGGTGTCCCTGCCCATGCAGGGGGGTTGGAACTTCATTATCTTTAAGGTCGCTTCCAACCCAAACCATTCTATGAGCCTATGATATTTTGCCAAACATTAACATTATACAAAAGTAAATACAAGTTAAATTTAAGATAAGTAAAATTACAAAGCTGAAACTTTTTTTTACCTACTCAAATAAATTATTGATATTATTATAAATTAATTTCTTCAGCTTTTTCCTAAAGGAACATGGTTGAAATGAACACATTCCTAATCTAGGTGCATTTTCCAATGGAAATCTGAATAATCAATTTTTTTTGTTCAAATTTCCTCAGCATTAGAAGTTATTTAAAATTGTAAATTGAAAGTAAACTGCAGTCTCTCACGTAGAAGTCTCTCTTCACTTCTGATTAGTTCCAGTAAGTTAAATAAAATTGCCCTTGCACATCAGACCCATTATATCTTGATGTCCTCTTTTCCACACTCTGGACTTCCAAACAACAATACAGCATACATTAAACTAAAATCAGTTTTCATCAGCCTTATTTGTCTTTGCAAAGGTTTTCATGTACCATATACGTCTTACCACAGATCATGAGCAGCAGGCATATCTTTTAATGTTTGCTGTGTAATGTGATTTTTACCTTAGAGATACACCAAGGTATGTTTAAGTATTCCTTGATAAAAACATAAAGCCATCTTAAACGGATGTTATCATAAACCTTGACAACCTTTTTGGCTCTGGTTCCCTTTGTATGCACAAGTCAGGTAATAAATGCTCTTTTAAAGGCCACCAGAGAAACAGATGAAGGGACACTGACACAAATGGAAAAAAACTGTGCAGCACCTCACATGAGACATTCCCCTCTCAGTCACTGGAAGTCATTGGGCTCTACAAAAAACAAAGAAGTACGTGAAAGCCTCAAGTACCTGAAATTGCAGACTTCACTTCTCTAATCTCTAACCTTATCAGCCATGTTACTAAATATGAGATTTCAACACAGCAAATATAAAACCTATGAAAAAAAAAAACAGATGTTTTGAGTATATGGCTCATTTAAAAAATAAATTCTAAGAATTTATGTCCCACAAGCAGCCTGAAGCTTTAAATGCATTAGAAATTACCTTGTTACATTTCAGTTTGAGCCATGGGTCTGTCTCATACACTTTTGGCTCAAAAATAATACACAGCACTGTCCCGTGCAGCCATTATTTACTGTTTTTAAATGTTATGGTCTTATGCTGAACAAAAAAAAGGGACAGGTTTATTCACCCAGCCTCTAACTAAAAATCCTTCTGTTTGCCTTCCTGAGACCCTTAGACCAAGGAATTAAGTAAAAGTACGTCATGAAGAGAGTCACCCTTTTACCTGTATCACACTTTACTGTTGATTTTCATAAACTGTCCTTACTTAAAAACAGAGCACAGCTCTCCTGTCATGGAAAACATAAACCCTTCTTAGATCTAAAATTCACAGACAATGAGAGACAGGTTAGGAATAAAAGAGCATGGGGAGAGCGTCAAGTCAAGAATCAGCTCAATCAAGCTGATCAGGAGGTGCCAGAAGGTACTGATGATACAAATGAAGTAAATACTAAGACTCTGGAGTGGAGTGAGCACTATTCAGTATTTGCTTGTTAAAAATCAACAAGCCATTGAGGGTCAAGGATGGCTTATTTATTCTTACCATTTTCTGAAAAGGCCTCTGAACAGTAATGTAATCCAGGTATTAAATGACCATACAGATGTGCTCATTTATTCACTGATAAGTATTAATAGAGCAATTATTAATTTTCATGGTATTTTGAAGGTGCTGAATGGTTACACCCAGTGACTGTGAGTTTCATAAATAACCTGATGTAACATACTCTACAGAGGGCATAAGATTCTATTAAAATTCAGTCTAAAATGCATTACTACCTTATTGACCACCTACAAAAATTAAACCACAGGTTTCTGAGCTTAAAAAAAAATAAATCCTGCATTTTCCACTAGCAAGAAAGTCAGCCGTAAGTTATTTTTTTCATTATGCCAACAAACTGTAAAATGCAAAAGAAGATGTAGTAGCAGTAAGGTGTATTGAAACCAAATTAATTTTGTCATCAGAGACAATTATTTCTGGATTTCACCCATTAAAAAAAAGGTGTTTGCACAATTAGGAAATCCCCACCAGTTATGATGATGCTCCTTTTCACAAGCCCCATTAGCCAGCAGGCACCTGCATGCAGCTGCAACAGACAAAGGTCTCTTTTTACACCCATTTTCACTTCTGCTGATTTCAGGGGAGTTCTTCTAATTTGTGTGACAGAAACATTAAGTCTTTCCTCTAGTTTTCAATGCAGAAGAGTATTACCTTCAAGCATTTTCTGCAGACTGTTTCTCATGACATGAATGTTCTCAATGCCTATGAATTGAAACTTGATGTTGGAGTAGTTGTCTTCATTTTCATATCCCTTCCCTGCTGCTCTGTTTGCCATTGCGTTAAGCTGCAAAAAACATAGAAAATGGGATGAAAACCAGAAGCAAACAGATTCTTCCCAAAACAAAGCTTGTGGTCTACTGCAATAAATCACAGTGATTTAGATCAGGCACAAACAGAAAACATTTATCACAGTGCCAATACAAAGGATTAGGAATAGGGGATCTCTTTACAGCCTATTGCAGAGCACTGAGTCACTAAGGCTTTCACCTCCATTTCACACACTTTGAGAGGAACTTCATCGGTGAAGTAAGATACAAAAAAATGCAACTTATGTAGGGATCCTCTGCAAGAGCATAAAGGTTTTAATTTGTTTTTAAAAGGTTATTCTGATTTAATTTTTTATCAGTGTTATGTTTACTAGCAGAATATACCCAGGAGGTGGCAGTGTTTTATCTGCCATCCCACTGTTTTATAGCATGTGTGCACTGTAATGTTGCCCAAATTACTGTGTTTTACTGCTCAAATCGTCCAGGAGTCAATACAGCTTCCTTCTTTGAAACTTGGCATAATGAAGCGAGAGTTAGTGTCATTTTTCCTGAGTTTATAGTATCTTGACTTATGTAAGACCATAAAAGTTTCAAATTAACAAAATTACCACAAATATTCTCATCTATAATGCAGTGCTAACAAGTGTTTTGCAGTGCTTCAGCAAAACATACATTCAGCTGGAAGCCATAGTTTTGTTTCTGAATCTGTTACTTGCTTCCTGGCATAGGAAAGTCACTAAACGCTTCTTTAGTTCAGTTTCCCCGAAGCATAAAACTAAGGGTTTTTTTAATGCTTATTTCCCCCCTTTTGAGATTCTTGGGAGAAAACTATCTGCCAAAACCCTTATGCTAAATTTTGATATCTGGGCTGAAAACTAGAGCTGACAGAAATTAATTAACTACTTTCAGTTTATTACTCTTTTTTATTATTTCCTATAGCAAAATCTCACTGTCCAGTAGAAAGAAATGGGTTTTTTGCATAAAGTCCCTATTCTCCTAAGAAATGCATGTTTTAAGACTGGGAAGCCTTGGAACTTCCACTGAAAGATGGAAGGTGCAGGAGTAACAAAGCATCCCATGTAGCAAAACCTCCATGCATCCAAGCACAACTAACAGCTGCGGCCAAGGAAAGATTTAATAGTTCAGTAACAATGGATATTGCACATCCAGACTGCAGGGCACTAACAAAGCTTTTGGAGAGACCTTATGAGGTATCAGTAGGACAAAAAGTTCCATGTCTGCACTGGAGTGGGAGCCCATGCTCATGAAATATCAAAAAGAAGTGTCTCTTCGGTATTGTTTAGGGGATAAAAAGCTAATAACTCCATTTCCAGTTGATTTCCCAGTATCACAGGCAGTGCTACTGATTTGCTTCTGCAGTCACTTCTGAAACAAACAATAATATACTTCAGTACTCAGCTAAAGCTATCATGGGATATATGAGAATGTGTTTCTTCCTGAGCTTTTCCCCATACACAAACAATTCTGATACTCAATTTTGATTTGGAGCCAAATGTATGTAATTGAGCAGGACCGATTGTTGGCTACAAACTTATCTCCAACACAGGTGAACAAGTCTAGCTTTTTTATGTCATACGTCAAAATAGGTTTCCATAGACCAAATTTGTCACCCTTTACTTTCAAAGGAAACAGCTAAAGACAAAAAACTTTCTGTGCATTACCATTTCCTTTTAAATGCATAGGACAGCAGACAAGTGAAGATGCTTTTCAGTTCCTGTATTCTATCCAATTGAGTATGTGAAGATAGGGATTGTTTCCCATCTTCACACTTTCTAGTGCATCCATTCCTATAAGCAGAACTTGGCAATAGGAATCCATAGTCATATTTGTTGACCACCATTAGGAATTGAAACACTGCCTGATCTTCATGATACAACAGAAGGAACTATACTCTAAGATAGGAACCTAGGAAAAAAACCAGAATTTTTCATTTACTCAAGTCTTGCGTGAAACTTCTTTTATCTTGTGTATCATCCAGCAGTCTGCTGATGTTTTGAGTATCCATGAACAATCAAAAACTACACAGCCTGTGAACAGCATGTCCTTTAAGGAAAGAGTCCTCAGTGTGACTTCCTGGAAAAATGAAAATTATCTGCTGAATCCTAATCTTCCTCTTTTGAAATAGATATTAGTGCTCAAATATAAACAAATTGAAGTAGTTTCTCTCTGCAACAGCTTATAGCTTCAGGAAGAAAGACCTGTGTGCATGAGTCGAAGCCACCGCAAACTCCCGAAGCCCTAAATGAAAAATATCTAGCCCCTAAATGACCTCATCCTCAGTACAATAAAGACTACTAACTGTCTCTGCCAGTGAGCAATTTTATCACCAAAATCCTTTAAGACAGCCTGCAATAGCCCTCTTTAAAAGCAAATAAATAAAATGTTAAGTTCGCAAGGCTTTCCGACACTCAGTTATTTTAAATACTGTCAGTGGCCAAACTTTGCAGCTGACACAAAATTTACTATCAAGTTTTCCATATCACCTACCAAAATTCCATCTGTTGCTTTTAAAGCAGTTGTTGCAAAGCTCTCTAAATTGTGCCTGTCCTTGCTCTATCTCAGAGAATATGAGAAAAGCTCTAAAGGGAACAGACCGCACTTGGCAGATTTCCTGGCATCTTCTTTAATGTGGAAGATAACTGAGAGCTCTCTTCTTATAAAGGGTTATAGCATTAATTTGTTTTACTTGTAAGCAGTAAGTTTACATCAGCTTCTTCTGTAAACACACAGAATAAGAAGAAAATAATGAAAGACAGTAGTCTAAGTAAAGCTCAGCCTCTGGTCATAGAATCATAGAATGGTTAAGGTTGGAAGGGACCTTAAAGACCTGGTTCCAACCTCCCTGCTATGAGCAGGGACACCTCACACTAGACCAGGCTGCACAAAGGCTCCTCCAACCTGGTCTTAAACACCTCCAGGGAGGGGGCTTCCACAACCTATTCCAGCACCTTACTATCCTCATGGTGAAGAATTTCTTCCTGATGTCTAATCTAAATCTACCCTCTTTCAGTGTAAAACCATCACCCCTTGTCCTACGACCACCCTCTCTGGTGAAAAGTCCCTCCCCAGCTTTCCTGAAGGCCCCCTTCAGGTACTGGAAGGTACTGGAAGGTCACTATAAGGTCTCCCAGGAGCTTTCTCTTCTCCAGGCTGAACAGCCCCAACTCTCTCAGCCTGTCTTTGTTGCAGAGGTGCTCCAGCCTTTTGACCATCTTGATGGCTCTTCTCTGGTCCCTCTCCAAAAGGTCTGTATCTTTTTTGTCCTGAAGGCACCAGAACTGTACACAGTATTCCAGGTGCGATCTCACCAGAGCAGAACAGAGGGGCAGAATCACCTCCCTGGCCCTGCTGGCCACACTTTTGATGCAGCCCAGGATGCAGTTGGCCCTCTAGGCTGCAAGCGCACACTGGCTGCTCAGGTCGAGATTCTCATCTACTACCACCCCCAAGTCCTTCTCCTCAGGACTGCTCTCCAGCCATTCTGCCCCCAGCCTGTATTTGTGCCTGTGGTTGTGCCGACCCAGGTGCAGGACCTTGCACTTGGCCTTGTTGAACTGGTCACCCTGGTAAATTTAAATGAAGTGGAAACAAAGTCTCTTCCACAGCCAAAGCTTTCCTTCTGAAGATTATAAAGCACAATGAGACACAAGAAGAGCACTTGGGAATGCTGAATTCACTGGCCTATCAGTATTTATCATCTTTGCAAGGAATCAGTTCTGGTTACAGAAGAAGCAGGCGATTTTTTTGCTTTCTAGTGTAATGGGAAACATTGCACCAGACACAATAACTTACCTTTACATTTGTTAGAAGTTTCCTGAGGAATACCAAGAACAGCTTGTACTAATATTTATCTTTTCCTACATGCTCTAGGTTTATATATGCATTAGGAATTGCAAAATTAATTGTAACAACTGTAACAAGGCTTTGTTTGGCACATGGGATCACAGGAGCCTTAGAAAATAAACCCATTATTGCAGCAGAGAGAGATAAGTAGAAACCTGTGCATAGAAAATTATTTACATCAAAACATTTTTTTTCCCCTGAGAGAAATTAAATGAAAGCAAATAGTTTTCATCTGCTGACTGGCTCCTGAAGAAGCTGGCATTGCTGAAAATATGCCATTGTACAGGCATATAAAATATGGCTAAAGTACAGGCTTTTTTCACTGGAGATGGGAGGTGTCTCACCAAAGTCATATACCAGGAAAGTTTATGGAAAGGCACCTTCCTGTTATTATCTTTCAAAACATCATTAATAGCCAAGTCAGTAAGTGTTTAGTCATAAATCAAATCTCCTTAATTAGGGAAGAGTACCAATATCATCAGTCAGGAAATGCTAAGTTATAAATACTATCAATAAAGAAAAGTGTTAAACAAATATTATTTAGGAAGCCAAGTCTGTGCTTCCTATACAAATTCTGCTCTGAACACAGGTGTACCAGTCCTTTACTAGTGCTCATCATGACTCACTTTCTTCAAGACCACCCTTCCTCATCTTCCCAATAAAAAAGAGGGAACTGAAGGTCAAAGTAGTCACCAAATTACAAAGTGCAATGAGATAACTCAAGGTCCTGATTTTCTGGCTACTGCTTCCCATTACAGCTCAGCACTTACCCACCAGCCCTCAGGTCTTCAATCAATAGCCAGCCAGTCAGGTTCTTCGTCTCTGCTCCAGTTCTGCCAGGTTTGGTCTTCCTTGCTCCATTCCTCATGTTTCTCAGTTTTAGACACCTTGACTTTTCAGGCTCCATCTCCTGATCTCAGGATGCTGAAACAGCTTCCTTGCTCCTTTTCTTCAAGCCTTTACTCTCACTTTTCCCCTTCCTCTGCTACAGCTCATCCCTTATCAACTGGAAATTTTGTGGAGATTTGCTCCTTTGGTTTCTCTTCTTCAGGTGCTTTGGCAGCTTCAGGAGGGAAGCTACTGATAGTGTAAGAACATACCCCTGCTCCCACCTCCAGACACTGAAGCCTATCTAGTCCTCATCACCTTGAGACGTTTGCTAGCATGCCAAATTTGGAAACAGGGCTTTTTTAGCTTCCAACCTCTTCTAGACCATCACTTAGTTTCTGTGTTTCTACACAGCATATTTTTTTTCTAAAGCTTTTATCTTGGTCAAAGTTCTTAGTCAATTATAGAGATAAGGCATCTGAGATCACTAGGTACCATGTTTCAGATTCCCTCTCAAAGCCAGGAAAGTACTGGAAGTATTCAATACTATTCAGTTATTCACTTTACTATATCTTAACATTTTGTTAAGAACAAAAAAAAAAAAAAAAAGGCTTAGAAAAAGATTTTTGTCTTTAAAGATAAAAAATGCAGGCAAGGTTGCTAGTTAAGATTCCCCTGGTAAATCCTGATTTGCCTGTGGAGTCACACAGGTGCAACTAAGAAGATCAGAAGTATGGTCAATCATTTGTACATCTTCCCTAATGTGTCCAGCCCACATTCAGTCTTGTTAAATGCAAGAAATATAATGTACTTACTTTGGGCCGAGTGTCAACAACATATAGGAAATCACTTCCTGGATTTGCTTTTCTGATGGCCTGGAGCATTTGTTCATCCTCAAGGCATCGAGCACTAAAGCCAGATAAAGGCTGGCTGCTCCTACATATGGATGCCTGCAGAAAAACAGACAAGCAAACAAACAAAAATTAAGCAGAAATTATTTAGCATCCAGAAGCATATAAAAAACCGGCTCATTAGATGTTTCTATAGGTGTACAATTACATGGAAAGGGCAGAATAGTAAAATTCATTCCATGTTAATAAAGACATTCATTTTTTTAAAGGCAAAAAATATTAAAACTGTATGACCCCATTGGCCCAGGCCTAGTCCTGAATCCATGTTTTAGAGCTATTTTAAATATAATGTTGCCCTAAAGCAGAATAACTCCTGAAAGGTGGTCTCTAGAGGATGTGGCATACGACACTGCAGAGAACACTGATACAGCATGAAGAATGGGTCCTTTTGCACTGTCACTGACACTCACCAGTTATGATCCTGATTACGCCCAACTTACACTAATGCATGCTTCATCAAACAGCCTGAAACACCGTAAGTTCAGGAAACAAAAATGCATAACATGTAGCTAGATCACTGATGGTGGTGTTTTTTTAGCATGGTCCAGTCTCTTTTTGGTGGTGCCCAGTAATAGGACAAGGAACAACGGGTATAAACTAGAACACAGGAAGTTCCACCTCAATGTGAGGAGAAACTTCTTTACTGTGAGGGTGACAGAGCACTGGAACAGGCTGCCCAGAGAGGTTGTGGAGTCTCCTTCTCTGGAGACTTTCAAAACCTGCCTGTGTGGCCTGCCCTAGGTGATCCATCTCTGGTTTTGAAGTTGGAGTAGATGATCTCTAGAGATCCCTTCCAGCCCCTAACAATCTATAAAATGTATTGGGCTGTGTTTAAGAGTAGGGGAAGAGATGAGGTCATGTTTTGGTATTGCACAGACCAAACAAATACTTCCAGAGTTGGATCTTATCATATTCACACGGATCCTGTGAATCACAGAGTAAGATCATCACTGAATTTGCTGATACCAAAGAGCTATGGGAAAGTTCTGGGTATGAAAGACTGAACAAGTGGCACTCCATCTCTCTTGCTTGCAGCAGACCTCTTCCCAACCTGCTGCTGCCATGGCTGTTCAATGTCCACTGTCACAAATTTTACCCCACACCGGCCCGTTACTATTAACTAGCAACTCATGCCAGCCTCCAAACTCACAAGGAGGTATTTTCTCCAACATTCCCAACCCTTTTCCTAGCCCTCTGAATAATGAAGGATCCAGGACTAAACACAACCCCTCAGACACTGGAGGTCTGAACCTTAACCTGAACTCCAACCACAACAGGGAAAATATTCAGGCTGAAACCATGAAACTCATCCAAAACTGGATCATTATAAACTGGAATCTAGCTGATGCCTGAGACCTTTTCTTTCACTGAGATTTGAAAATGTCCACATTTTGAATCCTAGATACCTATATTTGGAATTAGTTGATTATGCAAAGTGATTGATTTTGAAAATATTTGCCCTAATGAAATATTAAAGATACTATGAAATTTATGCAGAGACTGTATTTATTATTCAAATCTTCATATCCTCCTGTTTCATTGTAAAATTCATAGATCTTCCTAGAATCAGAATTCTGCTCTTTTCTTGAGAGGCTACTCTTGGTTCTTTAGTTGCTTCAAGTATAGTTTTTCTACTCCTTGACTTGCTGTAAATATGGCTACCAGATCGGATGGTGAGACACTGGGACAGGTTGCCCAGGGAGGCTGTGGATGCCTCATCCCTGGAAGTGTTCAAGGTCAGGTTGGACAGGGCTTTGAGCAACTTGGTCTACTGGAAGGTGTCCCTGCCTATGCAGGGGGAGGTGGAACTAGACATCTTAAAGGTGCCTTCCAACCCAAACCATTCTACGATTCTATGAAATTGCTCTGTTCTCCCCCCAGTCACCCTCTATGCTGCCTGCTACTCGCCTTCAATCTTCTGCCAGCCATGTTTCAGGACCTCTTAAACTACTTCACTTCCTTGTGATATAGAGATCACATTTTTTTAAAGTAGGTGAATGACGAAGCTGGGTTAAATTACTGCATTAAATGCCTAATAATGGGCTAACCATAACTCCAGTGTATGCCCATACGAGCAAACGACACTAACCAGTCAACACCAACCATCTTTTAATTTTTTTTCAGTAAACACTGATTTCTTCTTGTGAAATCTTACTAGAAGAGTCATGAAAGCAAGGCTAAAATAAGCAAATACTTCAAAGCTACAAACTCACACTTACATTGTTGTCCTTGCAGTAGTAGGAAAGAGCTGGGAAACGCCTTCGACTCCGAAATTTAGAGCTCCCCACTATGATGTGTGCAGTCGCAGACTTTGGTACATACACTTCTGTAGGATAGGAGTCACAGACCTGTGAAAGAACACTGCTTATTTGGTCTACAAAATACAAGTAACATTAGACATCTTCACAAAAAAGGGAAAAAAGAAAGCCAAGGAACTAATCTCAGGGAATATTATGTGTACACACATCACCTGCATTTCTCAAAACAGTCTTTCAAAGCTGAACAGTATTAATTCTAGCTTACAGATAGTAAAACTGAAGCAGAACAGTCAAAGGGCTGTACTTCCAAATGTTACTTCATACCTTGTTGAAAACAGACAGGTATAACATACATTCATAACAGCAAAGACATTATGTACAGAAAGGTTGTATTTACAACTGCAGTTTCCTCTGTAGCAGAATTTGAAAGTAAGGATGGGAGCGGATGAAGATCTCAAACACCTCTCTGTTATAATGAGAGTGGACTATACAGCCAAACTTTTCAGCAACTCTGATAATTAAAAAAAATGAAAATAAAGTAGTCCATATGAAATGAGGATACCAAATGGAAAGCAGCCATGGCAATGCCTATCACTACTAAAATGAACCCAGTGAGCCTGAAAAAAAGCCCAAAAGTTTTTTTTCGAGACAAGTAGGACCACAAATGAGATCCCTGTCTAACTTCACTTTCCTTATACTGCCTGTGGCATTCTGGCTGGGCTCAAAAGGATATCCAGTAGCTCCCTGGGACTTTCTGAGATGACCATAGGAATTAGGACACCCAAGAAGAAGTTCTGTACCGAGAGAACCAGAGATATGTAATGATGGAGAAAGAAAAGAAAGGGCTTGTGGTTACAGATGCTGCTGTGGTGAACTGGGTTTTATTCATGATGCTGTTTTTCCTACACTTTATCTTAAAAGAGGTCAAACATTTTTTCTATTTGTTTTAAGAAAAAGAAAACAAACCCTGACAGCATATTCAGTCTTCTCTGAGAACTTCACAGGCCTTCCTTAACATGGATATGATCCAGCAACAGAGTCATAGAGTGCACAGACAAACTTCCTTAAAAAATACTTTGGTTATAATTTCTCACAGTTAATTAATATTCTAGGGACTTCAATTGCACAAGACTGAACTAGGCAGGACAGCAGACAGCTAGGAAGACATATGACCTGTCAGATGACTTACACTAACAGTCAATCACAGATGTTTTGAAAGGATTGTGAGGATAGCCAATGAGAAAAAAAAAAAGCCAAATTCACTACTTCCAGTATTTTTTTTTTCTTAAAATGACTGTTTAGTCATTTTATATAATTCCAGGAAAACACTCATTCAGATATGCAACATTAAGTATGATTTGAACGTCTCCCCAGGCAGCCAAGCACTAACATTTAAAATTTCCTGTGTACAGCTTTTCAGTGCTTAATTTCTACAAGTATGAAATGGACACATCCTTTCTGTGTGCCTTTTTATGTGAAAAAGTGGGAGAAGGGCACCTTACTACAGGTGTGGACAGCACTGAGCTGTAGCAGGATCCCTGTTACCTGCAGGGATCCTGAATGTAAGCACTTCTGGAGTCCACAGTCAGACTGCTGATCCACTTTACACCCTCTGTAACACAATCATCACAACTCACTCCATAGTCTCTGTTTATGTCACTGATCTGCCAATACTTGTTCGGAATACCCATCCGGTTGTATTCTTCATTGAGGTCCACAAGCTTCCAGCCTTGTTCTCGCTCTTCTTTATCTAATTTTGGGTTGAATGAGAAACAATACAGCTCTTCGTATTTCACTGAAAAACACCAAGCAAACAAACAAAACCGGTAAAAAACTTCAGATTTCTCATTCTGAAATGACACTTCAAAACAAAATTTGGTTTCTGTCCTTTTTATAGTTAAAACAGAATGCTTTGCTGGGTAAAAGCACATCTCCTGGCTTATAACTATTTTCAAGTGTATTTTGAAAGTACTATGCTCTTTTGTTACTTGTATGAGTTGCAATATACGTGCCTTATTAGTAATGTTACTTAAAATATGCTGTTCTACTAGACCTTTTCTCTGCTGAATTGTGAAAGCCTCCCACAGCCCAAAGGCAGGATGTCAGTGATAATATGCATTCATCCAAAGAAAAGTCAGTGCCAGAATAAGAACTTTTCCTGCAAATGAATTTGCTGGCCAGAGGTAGGCTGGAAGTCCCTTTCTGAAGGCAACATCTGTGGCAAAGACAAACTCTCTGAACAATGGACTACGCAGCACAATTTTCCAAAAATTAACTCAGAAGTCTTTGTCCCTGAATAGGGAAGTCTGTAATAGATTCAATGAAATTTTAGTTTTGTGGACTGCAAAATTCTGTTCTTCAATTATTAACAAAGGCATTCATGCTACAGGTGGTGTAATAACATAAAAATAGCATATACTACATCAACAATTTCATCATGACCACAAACTCATTTAAGTAGCTATGCTACCTGCAACCTTAGTCAAGGGCCATATAATGAACTTTGCCGGTGCTGGAGTTTTTAACTTTTTTTTTAGGAGTATATCTGTATTTATGCTACTGGGTGTTTCAGTCTTGGTGACCAATGGAAGCCAGACACACTTGCAACTAAATGTCAACTGTCTCTGATATTAATAACTATTCAGCATATAGCTTAAAATTAAAGTTCTCATTGGAATTTTAGATACTGTTTTGTCACAAGGGGATGTTTCAACCAGTCCTCTAAGTTCCTTAAAACTTGCTGACCAATGGGATTTTTACTTTAGAACTGAAGTGAATTACAAGCTGAGTGCTCTCCAATTTGATAGCTCTCCAATGATAAATTTGCTCCACAGTATAACTTTAAGATCAGTAAATTTAAATTTAAATACTACACTTTATTTTCTAATAATATATACCTAATAAGCATTATCTTAAGATACTACAGCATGCAGCAAAGAACTTATAGCTATATAATAGCAACAAAACCAACGACAATATTAATAAGGCTTCCATATTTTTCTAAGAAAGTTTTTACTTCTATTCTGATTATGTCTTTAAAAGTTTTCATTTAAGTTATATTTTGCTTTTGTAAATTTCATTAAATTGATTGCATCCACATTAACAAAAAAATATAAACACAAGGAAAGAAAACTTAATGTGAACTCCATTAGGAAAGTACTGAAAGTCAACACAGTAATGACTAACCAGAAAGTGAATTAATTGCCATTGACAGAGACAAAATCTTTCTGTATTCTCTGCTTTGAAACTACTGTCATGGCACAGATGAGGAAGACTGGTTTATTTCTCATCTGCTAACATGAAATTTTAGCATAATCCATAAATCCAGTCTGAGCTCTTTTTATTAAAGCAATTCAAGCTCCTATTTTTACTTCTTGGTTGTCAGAAGCATCTGATTTTGTTTTTAATTAGACCTACTGTTCACAGGCACAGAGAAAGCCTTTAAAAATCCACCAATTAAAATATATCCAGGTTATTTATGACTCAAGTCTGACTCAACATTACAAGTATTATTACATGATAGTACCTATAGGTGGTAACAAAAATGTTCATGTATTTATAGTCAGTGCCTTAAAACTCAGTTATCACCTCTCCAGCTCTTACAGTACCGTCCTTAATCTTTTACAGTCATTTTGCTATAAGCATCTGCAAATCCTGCTAATACAACTGTAATAACTATTATTATCAGTTTGTTTTCCAAAACAACTTAACTAAGCAAAAAGGCCAAACTCAGGTGACAGCTTGATCTTATTAAAATGCTAATAACAGCTGATAAGAGTGAAATCAAACATACTTGCTCCTCTAGAGTAACTAGGACATCAGATAACACAGGATATATTAAGCCAGTACACAAGATGAGCTTCCCTCAGGTTCAGCTATGGTGCAATGAACAAAAGGAACAGGCAGAAAGTGGAAAATTGAGCCTCAACAAGTCAAAATTTCTCTTCATGGAGTAAAGTGTACCTTATAAAGAAAGTATAGTCTTGGGCCTAAACATAAAGACACATCAGTGCGCCATCAGGGTGCATTTGGCTCAACTAGCAATGAGAGTCTTCTAATTTTAAGTAAGCAAGATTTTAATCCTGCCTCACATGAAGATCAGATATTTTCCTAGAGAGGGAAAACCACTGTGAAGCCGAACAAAAAGCTAATTCTGTGGTGCTCTTATTGCATCTTCTTCAAGCCTTCTTCTCCACTGCAGTCTGCCACTGAACTTGTATTCAAAGTCCATAGCCAGTCAGTATGCCCATATCAGTGTCCTGTTCTGGTGCACAGGTGTAAGTAACCACACACCCAGAATCACATTCCTTCCAGCACACACATACACATACTTGCAGCTGAGGTCCATCAAATTAATCCAGATATACATAAGCAAAACCATTGACTGAATTTCTCCCATTGTTTTTAAATTTCTCTGATTACTTCCATCTTGTGTCACCTAACATACCAAGTTATGTGTAAATATTACTACTACTATTATCCTAATTATAGAAGGTGCTTTATGAGTTCAGTAGCTGTGATGGCTGACTATGCAAATAGAATTTCCCCCCTCTAGACTCTAGATAAAATCAGTGTTTTCCTAGCAAGATACAAATTAAAGCCAATGTTGTCAGTTTTTTACATACTGTGGTGGACATTTTCTTTAAATAGTTAAATAATGGTAAACACAGAGGCTGGTGTGGTGTTTCTACAGTTCTCATTTAAATAAAACAATCCAGAAGCCCTGTCAGCTGGCTCTTAAGAAAGCAGCTATAATGCAGAGGATCACGTTGGACTTTGCTGCAACATTTGAATTTTCACTGCAAAGAGGAACGGTTTCAAAAGAAATTCAATCCAAACTTAGAAATTCAAAAAGGACACATTCAAAACCTAAATAATAGACCAAAACACAGCCAGTCTAGTGGAATAAATGAACTACTTGCTGCAAAACATTCTACTGATATTAAGAAATTTACGCACAGCACAGAAAGGGAACATTCAGACCTCAGCATGACCACTAAATATATCGCAAGTTTTTTTGTCACAACAGGAACATGAAAGATCCCTGGTTTCAAAGACTTGTCAGTATTTTCCCAATTACACAAGGTATCCAGTAAACAAGTTACATAAAATAACATTATAATGTATTTTATGGCCAGTGATCCCCTAGAGTATCATTTTCAACAAAAGTTCATGACTTTATGGAATGAACTACTTGTTATAATGTGCTTTTTTCATTGTTCCATAAGTGATTATTTTAATATGTTTGTCTGCTCAAAGATCTTTTCTCATATAACACATCTCTAAAGAAGTCTTTTTCTTAAACTGCAAGGGACAAAGATGCATTGCTACATTTTTTCCACTATATTCGCCCTCTTCAGCATGAGGATTCACTTCTGTGCCAAGCTTCTTTCCCATACCTGGTCGTGCCAGACGTATCAGAGATATGTAAACATCATGGCAGTCTCGTTCCTGAGGGATGACCAGCTGGATGACCTGGAAGTTCTTGCAGCGGATCAGCAATGGGCAACCACTGGCAGTGGTGGCCTGCTTCTCAATAGAGGAAATTTGGCTGTGAAGAACCTGTGTGGGAATTGAAAATGGTTATGCCACAGGATTCAAACCTTTAGGAAGAAAAATAATTATTTACAGTGATGTTCCAGAGCAGGAACAATAGCTTCCACTACTGCTTCAGAAAATCCCCACACTGCTCCTCTTGTAGTTTTGTTCCTATTTTCAGCTTCAGTCTCTAGCAGCACCTGATACATCACCTACAGAAAAAGAAGTGCTTCTGGAGTGCTTCAGCTGTTCAAACATTAGACTGGTCATGCTATCCAAAGCTTTTTGTTTGTTTGCTTAAGTTCAAGCAAGCAGTTGTCAGAAAAAGAGCTCTTTTCATCTACCTACACAGTGAAAAGATGAACCAGCATCAGTTAGATAAGGCTAAAATGCTGTACCTCCTTGTTAGCAGAAATGTATCATTTTATATATTGCATCAGATGAGATGAACCATTACAATATAAACAGGAGGGGAACAGCAGGAGCAAAAGAGGATGGAGTTAATGATCAGCACAAAAATGGACAAAATACTATTTTATTACATTATGATCATAATTAAGCTACACTGACTGACTCAGATGGTATGACACCAGACCTATATCTGTACATACATACATGCAACATATATGTTATCAATCCATCAAAACAGATAACTCAAAACACTGCATTATGAAAAAAAGAAGAAAAAAAAAGCAACAAAATCACTGATCCAGCACACGCAGTCAGGGAGTGAGGTAAGAGCCAAGATAGTAATTCACATTCAAAGTATTCCTCCTCAGTTCTTTCTGGATGACAGGGGTAACACTAGTTTAGAGCAGCTGTTCCTCAGTCAGTCACATCTGACATTTGTACACTGATGGTCCTTCTGGTCCTCTTACTGTGTTGCAATATCCAGAATACATTGAAAATTTTCAAAAATCACCAGGCTGGAATGTCACACACTCTGAACTTATAAAAGTATCCATATTAACTAATTTACTATGTTTAAAGTGTTTTGCAAGTTATTTTCAAACCACCATTAATTAAGTGCCACACATTTTCAGCTAACTGAAAAAAACAACAAATCATACCCAGGTTTCTTTACGAGTTTCAGAACCATTCTCTACAAATATGACATGGGTAGCTGTTAAATACAAGGTTCCCAGTGCAGCTTTTCTTGAAGACAAACGATCAAGTAACCGAACATTTTCCACCTAAACAAAAAAATGACAGAGAAAAAAAAATTAGGTTATGACATAGCCTGCCATAGTGAGATCTCAACATCCACTTTTTGTCCATTACAAAGTAAGTTCTTTTCAGTACCTGAAGAAATTACTACCAGAAGAGCTAACTATATGAGAAAATTATTATTATACCATGTAACCTATTTCCAGATCTACCTTAATCTGGAATCTTTCCCTGTCATGGTACATCTGCATCCAAAATGTGTAGCAAAGGATTCCAAAAACAATTTCTCACTTGAGCTCTTACCTGTTATCTCATCGTACTAAAACCCTGTGATAGCAAGGCAGAGCCTGGCCTTCAGCTAAACTCTCTCTGTGTTGTTCATTCAAGCCATTCCAGATTTATCTGTGATAAATAGGAAGCTAAATTCTAAAAAATACTAGTAAGCAGGAGGTGATAGTGGTAGAGTTTCTTCAGTGGGCCTTGCTCAGGCTCACAGGGAAGTCTCTGTTGATCAAAGAAATGTTTTAGTGTTTGTCTCCTCCTACTGGGGCTGTGAGCAGTGGTCACACCATAAATTTTTGCCTTTAGTCACTTTTCAATAGGAATCAAGGCCTTCACATCCACTGCTCTGACTCTATGGACAGAAAATGGATGTTGTCTCTTTGCTACAACCTGACAAAAGGGGAGTCCATAATGCATTATTAATTCTCACCAGCTTGTGGCTTGTACACCATAAATATTTTGTGTATGGCATGTGGCATTTATCCACTGTTACATGGCATTTATAGCAACAACAGACAAGAAGGCTGAGATTCCCAACTTTTTTGCCTCATTCTTCACTGGTGACTCCTCTCCCAACAGCCCTCAAGCTGATGGTCCACAGGGCAGAGACTAAGGAGACAAAGTCCCCCCCACCATAAGCGAAGACAAGGTTCATGACCACCTGAGGAACCCGAACATGCACAACTCCAAGGGACCTGATGAGATGCATCCCAGAATCCTGAAGGAATTGGCTGATGTAGTTGCCAATCCACTCTCTATGATATTTGAAAAGTCATGGACCCCTGTGGGACAACCACTTGTCACCGTTTTCCATCTGGACATTAAGCCATTGACCACGACCCTCTGGATGCAATGGTCAATATGCTAGAGGGATGGGATGGGATGTCATCCAGAGGGACCAGGACCAGCTGGAGAAGTGGGCCCAAGTGAACCTCATTGTCACAGTTTGACTCAGGTCTGACAACAATGCTCTCGATCCCCTCCCCCTCCCACCCAGGTAGGGAAGGAGAGAGAGAAAAAGAGAGAGACTTGGCTGGATTGAAAACTAACCTACACAGCTTTAATTAAAACATTAATGAATGATACAAGAAAATATATACAATTATATACAAATATATTCAGGAATGGGCGATCGACGGTGATGGATGAACAGAGTCCTCCCTGGACGCCGGCCATGGACGGGAGAGAAGGGGAGAAGAAGAAGGAAGGGAGTTGTCTTCTGTGATCTCTGACCTTCCTCTGAGCTTACGTAGATATATGGAATGGAATATCTTTGGCCAATTTTGCTGTCCATCTAACTCAGCCTCCTACGGGGGGGTCACAGATCTCCCCATAGTGTCTGAGCTGGCAGAGTGCCGGTGCAGCCTTGAAGCCTCAGTAGTTAGAAAAACATTCCACTGTCTTATCAGCCTAGCAGAACACACTGTTGCTAGCTACAAGAAAGCTTACTGAAGGAAAAAAAAATCAGTAAAAAGAAAAATTGGCTTCATCCTGGCTCAAACCAGGACACTCATGAAGTTCAACAAGGCCAAGTGCAGTGTCCTGCAGCTGGGCTGGGGCACCCAGAGATATCAAGACAGGCTGGGAGAAGACATGCTAAAGAGCAGCCCTGTGGAAAAAGACCTGGGGGTACTAGTGGATCAAAAGCTGGACATGAGCCACCAATGTGAAGTTGCAGCCCAGAAGGGCAACCACATCCTGGGCTGCATCAAAAGAAGTCTGGTCAGCAGGTCAAGGGAGGTGATTCTCCCCCTCTACTCTGCCCTGGTGAGACCTCACTTGGGGTACTGCATCCAGCTCGGGAGCCCACAACACAAGAAGGATATGCACTGTTTGAGCACATCCAGAGGAGGGCTACAAAAAAGATCAGAGGGCTGGAGCACCTCTCTTATGAAGACAGGCTGAAGGAGTTGGGGTTGTTCAGCTTGAAGAAGAGACAACTCTGGTGGGACCTTATAGTGACCTTCCAATACCTAAAAGAGGCCTGTGAGAAGGCTGGGAAAGCCCTGTTCACTAGGGCATGTAACAACAAGACAAGAGGTAATGCTTTGAAGCTAGAGAAGGGTAGATTTAGGTTGGACGTTACGAAAAAGTTCTTTAATATGAGGTTGGTGGATCACTGGAACAGGTTGCCTAGGGAGGCAGTGGGGGCCCCATCCCTGGAGACATTCAAGGTCTTGATGGGGCTCTGAGCAATCTGGTCTAGTTGGAGATGTCCCTGCTTATTTTAGGGGGGTTGGACTAGGAGACCTTTCTAGGTCCCTTCCAACCCAAGACATTCTATGATTCCATGATTTCTGAATGAAAATCTAGAACAATATAAAAAAAAATCAAGGTGGATAATAAATGGGATAAAGACTGCCTAAAACAGTTAATAGCTTGCTACCATTATTTTAATGAGTTTCTTATTACAACATTTTTTAAACTAAAATTGAACTTTTTCCTGAGAAAACATACCTACTTCAAACAAATTAAATGAATGCGTATAGTTGATATCATATAGCTTGTAATAAATTATCAAAATGGTCTTTTCAGGTTTTATAACATATATAACTTTTTGGTTTTATGTTCTGTTTGGAATTGTAGCAGAGCACATGCTTTTCATGCAAGCAGCAGCACAGGTCTATGCAGCCTGTCCATTACTGCAAATAACCTTTAATACACTAGTTAATCTTCTCTATATACACTTTTCAACCTTTCACTCAAGACTTACAATGCCTTTTAGTACCCAGTTACTTTCAGGACTTGGAACTGATAACTGTTGAAGAGATACATCCCCATCAAAAACCAAAAGCAACTAGTCTTGTATTTGAATTGCAGACACTGACTTAAATGTTGCTCTGAGAAAATGGAAGAGGGGAAAATGGAAAAAAACCAAACCAAACCAAAACAAAACACAAAAAAACCCACAAAAAAAACCACAACAAAGTTAAAGAAGACCTTGTCACTTTTGCATTGAAATCAATGTAATTTTGCATCTATTTCTGAAAATCAGAGTTAGATCCAACAAAGAAAGAATGAGAGGAACAGCAAAATCAGTGTGGTTTGTTGATAACACAAAGATTCCAGATTAGATTGACAGAACGCACCAAAATGCTCTCAGAGATAGGATGTAGCCATGTATTCTCAAAATTTTTCAGAAATAATTCCAGTGATATCATACCAGATACAGAATGATGCTAGTTCCTAAAAATTGCATGTTTACAATGTGTATTCTGAATCCATTGCACTATTTTAAAAATAAGAATAAAGAAATCCTTAAAACAAAAATATGCCAGTTTGGTAGCAAAATGCATAAAATCAAACAATTAGTAAAACCAAGTCTTCTCCCTCCAGGCCTTTTATAATCTGCTTTAAACAAAAATAAAACATCTAGAAAGCATGAATTAAGTCTTTTCCCAGGACCATCTACTTCAGAGGTCACACATTGGGGTAAGGAGGAATGGAAGAAACAGCATTAACCCAGTAAGGATTCTGTTGTGAGCAAAAGAGGAGATATAATTGAGCAAGGATGAGACAAATGAAAAATATAAGCAGTGGCCTGCTAAAAGGAACCCACAGAAAACAATCAAAATAAGGTTTGTCTGGACAAAAAAGGTACCTACACCACAATCCAGCCAAGGAGGAGACCACTGAACAGGCACTGATCTAGCACAAGGCAGCCATCACCCCACTCTACAGACTGAGGTTGTTTAGGACGTGAAATGCAAGCAAATCAGATACCCACACAGTCGGGTGGGAGCTGAAGGGTGAATCTCCAGGCCTCCTAGTTATATCATCTCCCCAGTCATCGATCAGAGCCCCATAACTAATCCTGAAACTGAATAATGCTGCAACAAACAAAAAGGCTCTTGTTTGTTTGGGTTTTTTTAATAGTTACTAACAAAATAAAGGTTGGATCTGAAGAGACAGGAACAGCTGCAATAAGCACAGTGCAGAAAGTTACATTGCATTAAAACAAATACAGTGGCTGCACTGGATGCAACCGGAGGCTCAACTAGCCCTCCAGTTTCTCTCTCAGAGTGGACAACTGCAGCTGCTTAGGAAGGATAAGAGGCAAGTGTGTGCTGATGGTCCTCCAGGACATTATCCCAGCTTCTAGAAAGCAGCAGCTCCACCGACTTCTTAAGCTGAAGTCACAGCTTTTAATAGCCCTAAACACATTTTGATATCCTGAATTTTGTCTAACAGCATTTCGAATCCCTGTAACTTGTTGACACCCACAACACTCTATGGGAGTGAACTTCACGTTTCTGCTCTGTTTTGTCCCTTCCTCTTGATTGCTTTGCCACTGCTCCCAATAGCAGGTGCAGTCTGCATTTGGTGAACAATTCTGTAAACAGGGAATGTCATTCCTCATCTACTTTCTCTGTGCCAGACATGCTATTACAGATCCTTCCCTCTATCTTCTTGTTCCCAGACTGAAGACCCCAACTTTACGCAGCGGTGACCTTTATGGAAGCTATTCCAGATACACTATTCCACACTTCTGATTATCCTACAAGAGGTCTATTTCTTCAGAAGAGGCCAAAAATGCAAACAGAATTCGGAAACAGAAAACAACAGATTTTTTAGTGGAACCATGATGTTTGCTGTTTTGTTTTCTATTCAGTTTTTAAAAGTTTTCAAACATTGCTTGATTTTTTGTCCTCTGCTGAACACAGTGGCTTCTTTTAAGCAAAAGCAGTTTTAACTCCAAGTCATGTCTGTATACCTAACTTAAGGCCTAGTCCTCCTAGCCCCCATGTGTATTAGCTTACATTTATTAGTGATTAATTTTATCCAACAGTGTCTGAGACACTGCTGCAAAGCCCTACAGAAATCTTTCATTTCTCCTACCCTGAATAATGTCAGTACTATCACTGAAGTTTGTCACTTCTGGCATCTCCCTCCCTGTATCTTTCAAAGCATTTGTAAGCTGAACATCACAGACCCTTCCAGATTCTTTCCATCTCTAGTGATAAACTCCCTCCATTGTTAAAATGGACAATATATGCTTAGAATTTCTTTATTTCTTAACTAGTTATTACTGAGAGGTCTGTATCCCATATCATACTTTTAAAATTTTAGATATTCTGCATTCCTCTACCAAAGTTATGCTTATTCTTCCCCTTTTTATCATACTTATCTATAAATCTAATTATTTAGAAGGGGGCACAGGGAGTATTGCAGCTCCTACTGATTTTCGCAGATTAGGTGTCATATTTAGCACCTCCATTTTTTACAGACAGGGAAACTTCTAAGCATCAGACCATTGTTACTGGCTTGACAGATTTGTGTTATATTTCTTTTAACTTGCATGGATACCATCTGGTCCTGGTAAATTTTTACTGTTAGTTTTTGCCAGTTTCTTCTGACATCTCTTCTTATAATGCTCTTACTGGTGTTAAATCTTCTGACATGTTCTTGACAGAGAAATATGCCAGAATGGGCATGTCCCTAAATACCTTCCCTACTTTGACAATTTATTGGTCCTGCAGATTTTCTGCCATGATTTTACCTATTTAAAGACAGCTTGAAAATGGCCTTCCTACTATTTTTTACCAAGTTATTCTTCAAAATCTGTTCTGGCTTGCCTTCTTTTGGTTATATATTCAACTTGTTTATGCTTTATTTTCCTCATTTAGGCACAACTTCAACTTGAAGAACACCCTTTCACTTCCAATAAAGGAAGTCCTTTTAATAGGAGACATCCTGTTACTCTTACAC